TCCTAACAGACCACGAAAGGGAGTTGGGGACCCCTGTCTTAGATTGTCATCATTTCTGTTCCTCAGGCTGGATAATTTCAGTTGATCTGTTTTCACGCTTGCTGCCTTTTTCTTCTGTGTGATAAACATGCTATTAAAACCCCTGAGTGAATTTTTACTTACTGTATTTTTCAGCTCCTGAATTCTCTGTGGTTCCTTAATATAATTTCCAAGACTTCGTTGATATTCTCTATATGAACTGAATATTCTCTTGAATATCTTCTGTACTCTAACATTTAGCAACCATTGTTCTCAGCACTTAGTCTTCTGATTTTTGTAGAATAGGTACTGTAATTACTCCCGTTTAACCATGAGTTGATTGTCAGTTTATAGCAAATATTTTAGTACTAAGAAAACTGATTTGGAGCTCTGATTGTGAGGGTGGGGCTTTTAAACTACTGGGTTTTTACTTCAATGTGTTTGAACAAAAATTAGTCATAATGAAGGGCCCTGAAGTACTCTTTGTGATAGACTTTTTTTTTGAGTCATAGTTTTACTCTGTTACCCCAGCTAGAGGGCAGTGGTGCCATCATGGCTCAGTGCAGCCTTAGACTCCCAGGCTCAGGCAATCCTCCCTCATAAGCCTGCCAAGTAGCATGTGCCACTACACCCAGATTGAGTTTTTTAGGGTTTGTTTTTTTTTTTTTTTTTTTTGGTAGAGACAGGGTCTGGTTATGTTGCCTAGGCTGATCTCAAACTCCTGGTCTGGAAATCATGGGCTCAGGCAGTCCTTCCACCTCAGCCTCTCAAAATGCTGGGATTACAGGCATGAGCCACTGCATCCAGCCTCATTATAGAATCAAAATATCTTTGTTATTAAGAGCTTTAAATGTGAATCATAGTATGTGTATAATTTTTTATTTTAGTAGCAGTTGAGAAGAAAATGTGATTCCCTCCTGCTAGCTGGGATAATCTTGAAGGTCTTTAATGATAGATAAGATTTCAACAAGGACTTAAAAGATAGACAGGTTTTCTATAAGCAGGGATGCTATGCAAATAGTTAAATAAAAAAGCGAGCATGTAAAGTTAATGCTAGGCTAACCCTTTTGGTTAAAAACAGGACATGTATAAGGAAGAATAATGACAAATTAGGCTCCTAGCATTTTATTATGAAAGTTTTAAATTATATAGAAAAATTGAAATAATTACACAGTAAACACAAACATACCACCAAGATTCTATTGTTATTAACTTATGGCTACATTTGTTTTGCCACCTTATGTTCATCTATTCATCCCTCATCAATATATCTTATTTAATCCAAAATAAATTACAGGTAGCAGCATACTTCACTCATAAACTCTTCAGTTATTAATGCTTTTCAATAATTAGAATGCAAATACAATATATAGCCTTTATTTTTCCTTACAGTAAATAAACATAAATCATAATTGTAATGATTCATTGAGTATTGACAAAGGCATTCACTTGTGTAACCAAAACTCTTTTTTTTTTTTTTTTTTTTTTGAGTTGGAGTCTCACTCTGTCGCCCAGACTGGAGTGCAGTGGCCGCTCCCGGCCACTGCAGCCTCGACCTGCTTGGCTCCGGCCATCCTTCCGCCTCAGCCTTCCGAGCAGCCGGAATTACAGGCGTGCGCTACCACGCTTGGCTGATTTTTTTATTTATTGTAGAGATGAGGTCTCGCTGCCCAGGCGGGTCTCGAACCCGCGGGCTCAGGCAATCCACTCACCTCAGCCTCCCAAAGGCACGGGATTACAGGCTAAGCCACTGAGCCCGGCTGTAACCAAAACTCTTAAGGTATAGAACCTTTTCATCAAGTCAGAAAATACTCTTATGCCTCCTAGGCAGCCTTTTCCTCACCTGCCGTTAGTAACTGTTTTGATATATATTTTTTGAAACCTTAAAACCCCTTGCTATTAATTATCTTTAATCACTTTACCCAAATTAAGTAGAATTATATTTTTATTCTTTTCCAGTTTTATTGTAAAATATAGTTGACAATTAAAAATTATATATAGAGCCGGACTCGGTGGCTCAACCTGTAATCCTAGCACTTTAGGAGGCTGAGGTGAGTGGATTGCCTGAGCTGGCAGGTTCGAGACCCACCTGGGCAACTTGGTGAGACCTCATCTCTACAGTAAATAAAAAAATCAAACCGGGACTCCAACTCAAAAAAATAAAAATAAATAATATATAGGAACTTCTGAATGAGGTGCTAGGAGTATGGTGCACCAGAGAGGGCATGGCAACTCTAAAACTCCTCATGCCTTGCCCTATGCATCTCTTTTATTTGGCTGTTTCTGAGTTGTATCTTTCACAATAAAGCTAACTTTTTTTTTTTTTTTTTTAAGAGATAGAGTCTTGCTCTGTCACTCAGACTGGAGTGCAAGGTTGCATTCATTAGCTCACTGCAGCCTCAAACTCCTGGTCTCAATCCATTCTCCCATCTCAGCCTCCTGAGTAACTGGAACTACAGGTGCATGCTACCATGTCTGGCTAATTTTTCAAACAATTTTTTGTAGAGATAGGTTCTTGCTGTGTTGCTCAGCAGGTCTGAACTCCTGACCTCAAGCTATCTTCCCATCTTGCCATTCCAAAATGCTGGAATTACAGGCATCAGCCACCACACCGAGCCTAGAATTTTATTTTAGTTCTACTGTTAGGTTTTTTAGTTGACTCTGGAGCTCTTTGTGTATATATATATATATATATATATATATGTTTTTTTAAGTGGTTGCTCTAGAGATTTCATTTCTGTCTTTAACTTTTCACAATATTTTTAGGATCAATACTGTATCATTTCATGTAAGTTATAAGACACAAAGTTTTGTTTGTCCCCTCTAATACTTGTTTTTTATCATGTCATTTTCATATATGATATGGTCCACAAAACTGGAAAACTAAGTACTGAGAACAATGGCAGCCAAATGTTAGAGTACAGAAAATTTTAGTTCAACAAATAAAGAATATCAATAAAGAGATAAAAATTACGAAAAGGAACCAAACAAATTCAGGTGCTGAAAAACACAATAAATATATAATAGAATGTATATATATCACACACACAATGTCACAGATTTTCCTTTAACTAGTCATATGTATTTTAAAGATACTAGGAAAATAAAATCTTTTATATTTAACATTTTTAGTGCTCTTCATTTTTTTTCCTGAATGTTTCCAGATAAAATATGCAATGAAATTCAATCCCCATATGTATCTTCTCTGCAGTGGGTAGAATCAGTAATCTTTATTCAGTTTATTTAACATTAGCTGAGCTGCTTAGAATTGTTCCCTCTTGTTGTATTTCAGAAGTCAGTTAAGAGATTTAGACAGAGTAAATATGCACAGTTTAGGGTTCTCCTTCTGTGCCTCCTTTCTGTGGTTTTCCCCTTTCTAGATCTCTGATGTCCAAAATAACTTTCTACAGTGATGGGTATGTTCTGTAATGTACACTGTCCTAAATGGTAGCCATTGGCTATGTGTGGCTGTTGAGCACTTGAAACGCGGCTCGAGGAACTGAGAAACATCATTTTTTAATTTTAATTAATCTACATTTAATATAAATAGTCACATTTAGCAAGTGACTACTTTATTGAACAGGCCATCATTGCAGAACGGTCTATTAGACAGCACCGTTTTTGATGCTGTGGACTTTCCAAATTTCCCTTATTTCTGTTTGGAGTCTAGCAGTCAAAAGTGGACTTTCCCTTAGGCGAAGCTGTATAGAAAATAGGAAGTTCAAAGCAATGCTTTACCTTTGTCCCTTTCAATTTATGACTGATTTTGATTTCTCTAGAATCTTCAATTAGTAGTTTTGTATATTTTTTTGCTACAATTTAGAAATATGAGAGGGGATCCCCAAAAATCCAGAATTTATTTATAAAAAATTGTGTATTTATTCTTACATGTTTAAATTTCAGTCACCTTCAAAGTTCTCTCCATTTGTTGGAATACACCTATAGAGATGCTTTTTTCACTGCTCAAAACATTTTTCAAACTCATCAATTTTGATGTCTTTTAGTGCTTCTGCCATTTTTTTGTTTCACCTCTTCCACATCGACAAAAGTTTTTCCTTTGAGGATTTCTTTTCATCTAGGAAACAAAAGTCACTTGGGGCACGATTGGGTTACTAGGGAAGGTGGAGCATGGAGGCCATACCATTTTTTGGTCAAAAACTGCTGTGTGACAGGCAAGTGTCCTCATAAATCACCCATGATGAGCCTCCAAAAAAACTTCACTGAAACTCAACGCAGAGTCTCACAACAATGCTAGCTGGTGTAGTGATGCCAGTGTATTCCCAGAAGGAGCCTGCCTTCCAAAAGATAATTCCACTGATTCTTTTTGGTCCCACCTTGTATATCTGCATCTGATAAGAGCTACTCCACCATTTAACAGAAGCAGGACTCTATGTCTTAATCATTTTAACAGTGACCTAATTTTAAGGAATTTATACTTGCTGCTTTGTTGTCAGAATTTTCTTTCTAATCACTAATTAAATATTTTCTGGCCATTGCCTTACTAAACTCTGGTGTGACCATGTGTTCTTTGAGCTGTAACTGCCACCATGTTTCCTAACCTCTGATCTCCTTTCCTACCTTGGAGAAGTGAATCCTGTCTCTCCCTCTGATTTACTTTCTAAAGTGACTATATTTTCCAATCTAAAAATATATATATTTTCTGTTTTAAAATAGTTAGATATTGCTAATGTTGATACAATCAACTTGATCTTTCATTTCTTTAAGAAAAACTAGTTACCTAATACTGTAACTGTTTAGATGAAAAGTATTTGGAAGACTTGTCTGCGTCTTCATATAATTTTCATTTTAAACTGTCCTAGCACCTTGAACCTTACTAAAAGTATCACTAACCTTTGAAGTTACTGAGTCTTAATGTTCTAAACTTGATATTTCCATCTCAGCCATGTTAGAATTTAATGGAATTCTTCAAAGCAGCAACTCATATCATTGATAACTTGTTTGGTGTATTTTGCCTTTTTCAGGTACCTAAAAAGGTTTAAAGTGATGAAGATCAAAGTTCTAAGAAGCTGGTGCCGTCAGATCCTTAAAGGACTTCAGTTTCTTCATACTCGAACTCCACCTATTATTCACCGGGATCTTAAGTGTGACAACATCTTTATCACTGGCCCTACTGGCTCAGTCAAGATTGGAGACCTTGGTCTGGCAACTCTGAAGCGGGCTTCTTTTGCCAAGAGTGTAATAGGTATGTTTCGGGCGTACCTTAGAGCCTTCTGACATTCCTTTTATTTAGAAAACTGGCTCTATCAGAATTTTTGTTGAGTAAATAAACCTTCAAAAAATCATAGCTTGAACCTGAGAGGTGATTAGTTCTACTTATGAGGTATGAAATTCTATTTATGCTTCTAGAATTATCTTTAAGACTGTTGATGTTTTATAACATTACATTGACAGAAGTAAGGTAAACTTTGTTGGCAAACCTATTGTAAAATCTTACTGAGTCATACTTTTAATAGTATTATGTACTATTTATGTAATAGTTATGGTATATTAATTTCTTCATAAATGAAATTTATTTAGTTTCTAAAATGTCTGTTGGATATATATGTATATTCGAAAATATCTGCCTGATAGCACTTTAATGTAAAATTGTGGGGCCAGCTTAGTAACTCATACCTGTAATCCTAGCACTTCTGGGAGACAGGAAGATTGCTTGAGCCCAGGAGTTCAAGATGGCAGTGAACTGTGATTGTGCCACTATACTCCAGCATGGGTGACAGAGTGAGACTCTGTCTCTTTAGGAGAAATTAAAAAAAAAAAGATTTTTTTTTTTTAAACTTCCACTCTTCAGAATTTATGATCTATCTATCTATAGCTGCATAATTCTTTGTTGTGAGGGACTGTCTTGTGCATTGGAAGATTTATCAGCAGCATCCCCAGCCTCTACCCACTAGATGCCGTAGCATACACCCTGTCTACCTGCCCCTAATTGTTCTAACCAAAAATATCTCCAGACATTGCTGTATGTCTCCTGGAGGGCAAAATTGCTCTCTGTTAAGAATCACTCATCTAAAGAACAAGTCTGTCCCTTTCAGACTTTTAACTATTCATTAGAGAGTCATAGCTGGAAAAATAATGCCTATTTTGATAAGCTTTCTCACAATTTAAGAACTTGAAATCTTCACAAACGTTCTACTCCCCCTAAAAGGAGACAACAGTAAAAGGAACCCATTACTTTTTAAGTGGACCAAAAACCTAAGTATGAATAGGGAAAGTATGAATACCAGTTATTTGTTCATCCTTACAAACCAATGTTCTCCTTGGACAATTATTTAACTAGGATTTAGAATGCTATTTTTTCATTTCCTTAAAAGACATTCACAAGAAGGGTGGGAAAAGAGTTATTTGAAGCTGAACTTCCTTTTAGTCTTCGTCACATTTCTTTCATTGTATTTGGGATCTTACGATCTCTGACATAATGGTTTTTATTTTCTTGTTTATTTGCTTGCTTGCTTGTTTATTGAATCATAGTGTACATGCCTATTCTTAGAAATGCCCTATAATTTGAGGAATACAGAGTTAATTTTTGGAAGCATTACACAGCCTAACTTTTGTAGGATCACACCTTTGTGCTCATAAATCAGTCTATATTTGAGTTCTATATTTGTGTGTGTATATATGTGTTTTTTGCCTGTAGGATGTCCCTCACTGTATTTCTTGTATCTGCAGGTAGGATGGTAAGTATGTGAAGAAAAGGGCTCCGGTGAGTGACCTTTGTAGACAATTACATTTTATTACTTTTAAAATGTATTGCATATGGAGTTTTTCATTGCAAGGCCTTCTTAAAAAGTGAAACTAATCACATAGAATGTTAATGGCAAGAGACTAGCTGTAAATGTTAGCCTTGCAGGCTACCATACAGTAGGGGGCAGACAAGTATTTTGATCTTTTTTAACCCATTACCTTATCTTACAGGTAGATGCCATTATATCGGCTTTATTTCTTACTAGTATCTTACCTTTTTTCTTCCATTTGTTTTTAATGAGTTATATTAATTTATATCTTAGCCGAAGGCTCTATTTTGACATATTGTAAAACAGGAATCCATTTAAACTGTAAATAAATAAGCAGACACTTGACCCTCTTCAATTTCTTACAAAGGTCTTGCAGTGGAAGATCTTCTGTAAGATATTTGGTGGAACACACTGTCTGAGAAGATTTCCTTCCTCTTTTTTCCCCTTCTTTCTTTCTTTTCCCCCTTATTCCAATTTCTTCTCTCTCAGGTCATCCCCTGTGCTTCTCTGCCTGGTGAATAACATCTGAAGCTTCTGCTTGCACTGAGTTTGAATCATTCTTTTAATTTAAGGTACCCCAGAGTTCATGGCCCCTGAGATGTATGAGGAGAAATATGATGAGTCCGTTGATGTTTATGCTTTTGGGATGTGCATGCTTGAGATGGCTACATCTGAATATCCATACTCAGAGTGCCAAAATGCTGCGCAGATCTACCGTCGAGTGACCAGTGTAAGTCTTCCCCTAATGGATTGGTGACTTTGGATCACATCTAACAGAATCACGAGATGTATAACATCAAACCATATAAAAGGGGACTGTAGTAGAAAGCATTATCTAAGATCTCATTCTTTCCAACCACATAGCTTAGTGCCTGAATTAAAAGTAATGTTTTTACTTCAAGATGCTTTGTCAAATTAATTTGTTCACAGACTTTTCTCTGAATGACTTCAGTTGATTTATTAATTGAATAAATCTTATATGAGTACCTACAATACTTAAGGCATAAATTAATACTTTATCCATAGTTTAAGTACTCATTATAGTTCATGTTTGCTGACATTATTTTCTTTTTTTTTTTTTTTTTTTTGAGTTGGAGTCTCACTTGGTCGCCCAGACTGGAGTGCAGTGACCGCTCCTGGCCATCGCAGCCTCGACCTGCTGGGCTCCGGCAATCCTTCCGCCTCAGCCTTCCGAGTAGCCGGAATTACAGGCATGCGCTACCACGCCTGGCTAATTTTTTTTCAGTTTTATTGTAGAGATGAGGTCTCGCTGCCCAGGTGGGTCTCGAACCCGCGGGCTCAGGCAATCCACTCACCTCAGCCTCCCAAAGGCACGGGATTACAGGCTGAGCCACCGAGCCCGGCTGACATTATTTTCTACAGTTGTCCAGTTGGAACCTGACAGATTTCATTTTACCACTACATATTTCATTATACTGCTTTTAAAAATACAGATCTTTTCTTACATAACCATATTGTAAGTATAGTATGCCTGAAAAAATTAACTGTATTTTCTGGATCATCTAGTACCCTGAAACTATTCAGATATTTTCCCCGTTGTATCATATATGTTCATTAGCAGTCAGTGTTCAAAATAGACTCTTTTGATATCCACAGAATATATTTTGTTGTTTTATCTCCTAATCTAGAACTATTGCTTCCACTTTCTTTTTCTGCATGCCACAGATTTATTGAAGAAATTAGATGAAATTTTTTTTTTTTTTTTTTGAGTTGGTGTCTCACTCTGTTGCCCAGACTGGAGTGCAGTGGCAAAGCCTCCCAAAGGTGCGGGATTATAGGCTGAGCCACCGAGCCCGGCTTAGATGAATTATTTTGAGGACTGTTCCACATTCTGAATTTATCTGTTTGCTTCCCTGTGGTGTCATTAACTTTTTTATACAAGTATACCGTGAAATAGTTGGGGAATCTCAACAATGTAAAAATAATTTTGTCTTTTTAACTTGCATTCACCCGAAAGTATATGGTGTCATTTTCCAGAGACTAAATTATGTGTGATACTGCATGTATGATGTTACAGCAGAGTAAATGCAGAAGCAAATAATGAAAATTCAGTTATCTTCAGTTAGACCATATATTTTTGAAAGATTTGCAGAAGTATAAAACAAAACTAGTCTTGTTGCTAAGTTTTTCTTATTTTGAAAGATATTGAGTTAATTTTAAATGTTTTATATTATTTACATATTGGACTTAGTTTTGTAATTTTTAATGAATTAATAAATACTTTTAAACTTTCTCAGTTTTAACTCCTACTTGGTAAATATCAGTGGACATAACATAGATAAACAAAATTTCTCTGAGGTTCCCAATAATTTTAAGAGTGTAAAGGGGTCCTGAGACAAGTTTGAGAACCCCTGTTCAAAAGTCTTAATAAAATTTAAGCTAAACTTTTTTCACAAAGATACTTACGATGTGATGCTGTGTATTTTATATTATTTACTCCAAAAGGCTCGTGCTATCTTGTATCCTAGTTTTAATGATGCAATTTTATTGAATTTTGACGTATTAGAGAAGATGTGACCATACATTGCTTAACAGATTTTGATAGCTGATCAAATGGAAATTTGGTATATTTTTCAAAACTGATGAAATATTTTGCTTTAGGTAAACCAAAGTTTACACCTTCACAAAAGCTTGGAAGGAATCTTTGTAGTAAAATATGAATAATTTAATATAATTGTTATGAATAGTCCTTTAATGTCTTTTTTGTATATTTATGTTATTCTGCTGTATGATGGGCATGGAAGTATTTTAGACTGTTAATTTGTTTAGTTCAACATGAATGGTAAGAACAAAGTAGGGACTTCAAACCCAATAAAAATAATAGCTATTGTTTACATAGAAGGCAACATTATTCTCAAGTTATTCCCCAGGTTATGTAATTGGAGTGGTATTTTATCAGTTATTTTTATTGGGTGTATATATCCAAGTCTCTGTCCTGAGACTTTATTATAGCATTTATCAACCTTTTTTCAGTATCTACCAATCCCATCTCATACCAGATTCTAATAAATGATAGGATTCTACTCCATGAAGCACTGGTTCTCAATTTGGGCTGAATAGGGACAGGAGAAATGTGATTTTTCGTGCCCTCAGATAATTCTGATAAGTACCTAATCATTACTCTGCAATTATGCCCTTAGCTCATCTGCTTTGCCTCTCAGAATTCTTGCTTCCAAATACCCCTTACATGCAAGCCTTCTGTATTCCTATTGGGATTCTTCTGATTTCACATCTTCCATACTTGACTACTTGTGTTATCTTCCAGAGTAGTTTACATTAAGAATCTATTTTTTCATTTCACTTAAACTGGTTGAACTTCCTTGCTATATCTTCTTGGTAAAAGGAACTTACGTGTCCAAGTTTACTTATATCAAAGCAAGCATAAATATTCTTCATCTTCATCAAAACACTTAATTTTAGTCAAACCAGTTCTCTATTATCTTTCACACATGTCACATCCTTTCCTTTATTTCTCTCCATTTGTACATGTTATGAACTATACCTTCCCCACAAGTTCTGCTATTCAGTCGATCTGTATACTTAACAGACATCCTCCATGAAATTTTGTTTGTTTGTTTGTTTGTTTGTTTTTGAGTTGGAGTCTCACTCTGTCACCCAGACTGGAGTGCAGTGGCCACTCCCGGCCACCGCAGCCTCGACCTGCTGGGCTCCGGCGATCCTTCCGCCTCAGCCTTCCGAGTAGCTGGAATTACAGTCATGCACTACCACGCCCAGCTGATTTTTTGATTTATTGTAGAGATGAGGTCTCGCTGCCCAGGCGGGTCTCGAACCCGCGGGCTCAGGCAATCCACTCACTCAGCCTCCCAAAGGCGGGGATTACAGGCTGAGCCACCGAGCCCGGCTGTATACACATTTTAAGTATGACATTTGCTCAAAAGACAGTGTTAATCAAATGAATGCTAGTGTCACCATGAGACAGGCAGAACAAAGAAAAATGGCAGAAGCATGGTTGAGCGAATGTCATACTATACATTGCTACTGTAATTTGATTCAACTTTGAAAAGTAATACACAGATAACAACTCTTAAAATGTATATACTTTTTTTTGGGCCCCCTGTATTTTCTTCTAGAAGCTTTAATGTTTACTTTTCACATTTAGGTCTATGATCCATTTTGAAATGCTTGTTTATGATTAAGATTTTTTTTTCCTTTAGTTTTTTGAGGGCAAGGTTCTTTTTTTCCTCCAACTCATTGTTTTTAAAACTTAAAACTCAAGGGAGTAAATCAAGTATTTTTCCTGCTTTTCCTGTGTGCACTGTACACTACAATAACAAAACAGTTGGGGAGAGAAGTTTCCAGTTAATAAATGAGGAGGGAATTATATAATTGGGACACCACCATTTTGCAACCCCTACTGCATAAAAGAGACATCATAAAAAGAGATAACCAGATACATCTACTAATGAAAATATAGATTGCCAATGAAGAAATCTTGCCCCCAAATGGAAATTGTATCTGAGTAAACCTCTAAATCTAATTACCAGTTTACAGGAAACATAGGTAACAAAGAAATATGGTAACTCCAGGGGAAAAAATCCAAACTGTGGGAAATTATCAGGATTAAACAATCCAGTTTCTTCAATAAATAAATTTGTTGGAAAAAGGAGGGGGGAGGGAATCTATGGATTAAAAAAGACTTACATGACATCAATTGATTATGATGTGAGAAGAATCAGAGAAGTTTGATTGGATATTTGACTAGATATTTGACTAGCTAGTAATTTATTAATATACTAGCTGGGCTTGGTGGCTCATGTCTGTAATCTCAGCACTTTGGGAGGCAGAGGCGAGAGGATTGCATGAGCTCGGGGGTTCGAGACCAGCCTGAGCAACATGGCGTAACCTTGTCTCTACAATAAATAAAAAAGCCCGCTGGGTGTGGTGGCGCATGCTTGTGGTTCCAGCTACTTGGAAGGCTGAGGCAGAAGGATTACCTGAGCAA